GGGGAGGGTTTATCACATCATACGCAGGAGAAAAAACTCCACTTAACCGAAAAATAATTAAGACTATTTTGAAATAAAACAAGTTTCACGATATAAATCTTTAAGAACCATGGAAGACATTAGAGAGCCCAGAAACTACCCCAAATATATTCCAAATTTTATATCTATTTATACATATATAATATAAATGTTGGGTTATAATAAGAGTGGCAGGAAAACATGGTAATCAAGAGCAAGACTCAATACAGTACTGAAATAGCTGAAGAACTACTAAGGGAGACTTATATCTTATATCTTACAACTAAATGAACACATGTAGGGTTGGAGAATTCTTTTTATGGAACCATAAAACATCCCAAAAAAAGTATGAATGATAATCTCTGAATAAGAAAGTAATAGGTAATGGAAATACCACAGTGGAAAGAAAAAATCAACCATTAAAAAAATTGTAGTTTTGTGGTGATGGCACACAGGTGATTTGGTGATGGGAAGCCCAAGGGGATTGCAACTGAGATGGAAAATGCACAAAATGCTGTAAAAATAAACTATTATATATATTTTTAATTGTAGTTTTAGGCCCTGCCTAGTGGCACAACGGGTTAAAGGACAGCACTGCAAGGTACTGCAGCCAATTCAGTGCCACTTCAATCCCCGCCCCAGAGCTGAGCCACATGGCGCGGCAGACCTCTCCTGTCTCGCCCGCTGCTCCCCTCAGCAGTGTATTTCATCAATCTGCCTATTCTGCTCCCCACTCTGTCTCTGGTGAATCCTCTCACCATCTCTGCACCTCTGGCCTGTACTCCAGCTCTGTATGCATAAACAAACAAATCTTTTTTAAAAATTGTAATTTTAGGGGGCCTCCCTGGTGGTGCAAGGGTTTTAACCTCAATGGTATGAAGCTACTGTAAGCCACTGCAGCACAAGTTCAATCCCCGACCAGGGGGCTGCCTCACATGGCGCAGCAGACCTCTCCTGTCTCACCTGCTGCTCCCCTCAGCAGTGTATTTCAGTAAATCCACCTGTTCTGCCTCCCACTCTGTCTCCGGTGAATCCTCTTACCCCCTGCACCTCTGGCCTGCACCCCAGTATGCATAAGTAAATAAATAATCATTTGTAAAATTATAATTTTTAAATCACAGAAATTGAAATTAAAAGGCAAATGACAAATTGAGGGGATGTATCTGCAATGCCCATGGTAAACAATGAGTTAGTATCTTTCAATAAACTGTAAAGTGAGTATCATTTTCAAAAGATAAGGTTACCACCATAGGAAAAAATGCATAAAGGCATAAAGAAACAATTCTCAAAATTATGCATGACCAAAAAAATAGGAAGATGTCAACAAAATTAATAAGTAAAGCTGTACACATTTAAAAAAAATTTTAATTGTAACTAAAAATTGGCTAAAAAAGTTTTTTTCACTTCAAACATTTATTGAATGTTTGCTATAAGCAAGGTACGCAGACCTAGGAGAACCTCACTCAGGTGTTACAAATAACAAATAAAGCCAAGGAGAACATGAGCAGGCTAGCAAAGTATAAACATTTTCCGGAGTCTGGTTTGGCAGTATGCATTGAAGGTCTTAGATTGACTTAGGTACTTTAAAATATATATATATATTTATTTATTTATTCATACAAAATGGGGGTACAGGCCAAATGTGCAGGAGCGGTGAGATTCACCAGAGGCAGAGTGGGGAGCAGAACAGGCAGATGGACTGAAATACACTGCTGAGGGGAGCAGGGGGTGAGTCAGGAGAGGTCTGCTGCGCCATGTGGGTCAGCTCCCTAGCATGGGCTCGAACTCGTGCAGCAGTGGCTTCAGAGAGCTTCATAATGTGGTGCTTTAACCCGTTGCACCACCAGGGAGAGCCCGACTTATATACTTTTGCATACTACTTCCTCTGGATAAATCACGAGATGAATAATGACAAACAAAAGATTTGTGAGAGAGAATATTTGTTCTACCATTTTTACGACTTTTAAAGATAATCCACGTGAGATTCACTTATTTAGGGTACTTGTCCCAGTGCTACTTAGTACATCCATACAGTCTGCAACCACCAGACTATGGCAGACATTCCATCACCCTAAAAGGAAACCCCACCCCACACACTCTCATCTCCCTCGGCTCCCTCCCCCGGCTCTGGGAAGCCACTAATCTATTTCTGTCTCTATAGATTTGCATGTTCTGACAATACATGTACCGGGACTCATAACTGTACGAGTGTGTGTGCTTTTCTGGCTGGCTTCTTTCACAGAGCATCCTATTTTCAAGGTTCATTGTGTTCAGCATGTATTGGTATTTCATTTCTTCATAGCACTGAGTAGTATTCTCCTATATTGCTACACCACTCATTAGTTATAGACGTGTGTTTTCACCTTTTGGTGATTGTTTATCACGACTAACCTGCTCTACATGTTTGTATACAAGATATTGCGTTGACATATGTCTCGTTGGTCTTGAGTGTCTGCCCAAGTCTGTCTCCCTCTACGTCTCAGCTCATTAGCGGGGTTCAATATCATTTTGCTGAGCAATCTCCCAGTAATTTCCCTACCTCCTTCTCCTCCAAGGGGATGTAGTGTGGTAGGTTGATCTGGGCCTGTTCAGGAATTAAAAACTGGAACTTGTTGACTCCAGTCTTTTCCTCCGAGGATTGGGATGACAGCTTGTCAGTGAACATGCAGTAATCTTTGATGTCCCAGATCTAGGCACAAAGTAAGGGTCAGCGCCAGACATCCGGTGACCCCAACACTAGTTTACTCTGTGGGCACCTTCCACACAGCTTCTCTTGACTGTGGGGGAACAGTTCTTACATTTCTGTGAAACCAGACACATGGGGCCCAAAGGACCCTCTAGGCCAGACTTGATCATAAGTATGCAGAAAGGTGTGACGGGCCTCTTGCTTCCTGCCTCCCCCCATCAGTACTTGAGACAGCTGGTCAGCCTAGACACAGGAAGGCCACCTCTGCGTGGCCAGAGCAGAGGGAGTTTAGGAAGAGGACAGAGTAGCACAGAGTTCACTGCAGAGAGCTTCTCTGAGGAGACTGAACCTCCTTTCACTGGGAACCCCAAAGCAAGAGAGGCTGTCCAGGGTAACCACCCTACTCCCCACTGTTTTACAAATGAAATGCAGCCAGCACAAGTAGGTGCTGAGTTCAGGCCACATGGCAAAAGGTTCCTGGCTCATGCCCGCTCCTCCATCCTAACCCGTTTCTTCCTCACCTTGATGGTTCCTTTACAATCCCCTGTAACAAGGATCCAGTCATTTTCGTCAGTGGCCATGGCGCCCACCACGATGTCCCTATCAGTTCGGAGGTCCACCGGGAACTTCCCCAGCAGGCCTCCCGCCCCGTGCAGGGACCACGCGTAAATGCAGCCATCGATGCAGCTGCTCAGCAGAGTGGCCGTCTGTGGCAGGCGGGGTCTGGTCTGCAGGAAGATGATCTGTACGAGAGAGGGAGTCCGCTCAGCAGCTCTGGGGCCAGTGTCCCGGCCATGGCCATACTTTGCTGAAGGACTTGAGCATGTCACCACCCCCTCTCTGGCCTGTACCCCAGTTCTGTATGAATAAATAAATAAATCTTTTTAAAAAAGATTTATTTATTTGTGCATACAGAACTGGGGTACAGGCCAGAGGTGCAGGGGTGGTGAGAGGATTCACCTGAGACAGAGTGGGGAGCAGAACAGGCCAAATGACAAAGTACACTGCTGAGGGGAGCAGCGGGCGGGTCAGGAGAGGTCTGCTGCGCCATGTGGTCACCTCCAGGGTGGGGATCGAACTCACGCGGAAGTGGCTTTAGCTTCTTAGTGCTGCGCTTTAACCTGCTGCGCCACCAGGGAGGGCCCCACATTCTTTTGTTTTATTTGCTCCTGTAAGGCTTGAAGCTTTTTAGTTTTAATGAAGAATATGTATTGATTTCTTTTTTTTTAAGATTTATTTACTGAGCATACAAGAACTGGGGTACAAGCCAGAGGAAGGGGGGTGAGAGGATTCACCAGAGACAGTGTGGGGAGCAGAACAGGTGGATCCACTGAAACACATTACTGAGGGGGCAGCGGGCAGCACAGGAGAGGTCTGCCACGCCATGTGGGTCAGCTCCCTGGCCAGGGATGGAGTGCATGCCACGGTGGCTGTGGACAGCCTCATTCACAGTGCTGGGCTTTAACCCCTTGGGCCACCAGGGAGTATGGATTAATTTCTTTGTTTTAGGATTTATTTATTTATACATACAGAACTGGGGTACAGCCCAGAGGTGCACAGATCAGGGAGCAGAACAGGCAGATTGACAAAGTACACTGCTGAGTGGAGCAGCAGGCAGGTCAGGAGAGGTCTGCCTCGCCACGTGGGTCACCTCCATGTTGGGAACCAAATTCGCACTGAAGCGGCTGTGGCCAGCTTGCAGTGCTGCATCCTGACCCACTGCGCCACCAGGGAGGGCCCTGTATTGGTTTCTAAAGAGAGAAAGGCACTCTTTCTCGAATGTTCCAAATAAACTGTCCAAAAGAGGCCCTTTGTGCATGCCGCTTGGACCCAGCACGGCAGCGGGCAGCCCCACCCACGAGTCGCCGACTCTCCCCAGACCCTGCTAAAGCCTGGCCAACCTTCTCCACCGAGGCGCTGGACTGCTGCAACTTCTTCTGGAAATCCCCTCTTCCTCGTTCAGATTCTTTGAGAATTGACTTGAGATCCTGGGGTGTCACTGACGACTTGGGGCTGCCTGCGCTGAGAGATTTCTGGAAAGCAAAACGGACCTACGGGGTCACCACGAGGGGCTGTCCCTACCCTACGGGGAGGCAGACAGCAGAGGGAGCTGCAGCTCGCCCCCTCGGAGTTACACAGCCCTGTCTCGAAGGCAGGGGCGGGCGGCTAACCCAGAGGCCTAAGGACACGGAGACGCTCCGGGGAGACACCTGTCTTTGGGGAAGACGCCTTCTTTGTCCTGTAAAGGTTCACTGTTCTGGAAGACCAGACTGCAGTGGTGCAACCCTGAAACTCTGACGCTGGCGTGAGTGTCTCAAAGTACACGCACCTCGCCGCGGAGCTGTGTCCTGGCGGGTCGCAGGGGGAGGAGGGCTGGACGGCTGAGCTGACTGAGCTGACGGTACCGCGAGGGGCAGTGGCCCCCTTATCCAGGAATGGGACTCGGCCTCCTAGAGCCGGGGCAAGCTGGCTCCTGCAGCCCTACACTGCACTGGCTGCTGGACGGATGAGTCGGGACAGTGGCTCCCAGCTCTTTCTCCAAACAGGCCCATAGGGCCGGCTGGGACGGCTACCCCGGGGCAGAGACGAGGGCTCAGAGGAGGAAAGGGTTTGCCTGCCGCTGAGCACCAGGCCAGTGGGCCTGGTCTCCAGGGAGGGAGAAAAGAGCTCCACAGGCCTCATGGCTCACCTCTGCCAGGGCAATGAGAACCCTAGGACCGAACAGAAGCCAGGACCCACTTCCCGCCGGGGCGCTTCGGTGTGTCCCGTCTGGGTGCTGCCCAACACTCACAGACACGTGGGTCTGGTGTTAGCTGTGCTCTGGGGAGGGGCCAGGCCCCGGCTCGAGGCAGCAGAGCAGGTTGGGCTAATCAAGGAGGCCCTGCTCAGGCCCAGCTCACAGCGAGCTGCGAGCCTGCAGACAGCCTGGGCAACGTGCCTCCGAACTGGGACACACGCCGCAGAACCCGGGTGGCAGGAGCGGGAGGGAGGCCCGAGTCGACTCGCCCTCCCACCTTCGAGCGCACGCGCACGCCTGGCTCCTTGTTTCTGGGGTGTCTCAGCACTGGTGGGGCCGACATCATGTTCCTCCTCAGCTTGGCGTTGCTGCTGGCCCTGGCTCTGAAGCTCAGGGGCTGTGTCTGGGGTTTCTGTGCCCACTTATCTGCACAGGGTCTTCTGGACTTTTGTCTCTCCAGCAAGTTGTCCTCCCCTTCTTGCATCTGGACCTGGGAGAAAGCCGCCCCTAGGGTACTGCAATGCCCTGAGGGCAAAGCAGCCCCCTAGAAGCCCTCAGAGCGCCCCAGGACACTTCCTAGACACTGAGTACTGACTCTTAAAGGCATCAATCAGACCTTAGCCCCCCACACTGGGCTCATCACCAGCACCCTGCATACCCAGGCAGGAGAGGGCTCAGTCTCCCCATCTGCACAAGAGACAATGGTTTGCAAATATTGTGGAGGTTGCTTTGATCTCTAGGAAAGGTCCAAAGTGTAGATTAGATTCCAAAAGTTGAGCTGCTCTCAGGGAAGCCCCTGCATCTCAGGGGAGCCTCCATGCATCTCTCCACAACAAAGTTTGAAAAACTACTGATGAAGTGAACTCCCCCCCTTCCAGCTCTGAGCTGCAAGGAGAGTATCAGAAACTGTGTGGGTTTCATAAGTTCCTGTCCAGTGGCCCAGAAAGATAATATGTCACCCCAAAGTAAATGACTGGATTAAAAGGATGTGGTACATATATATATGATGGAATATTACTCAGCAATCAAAAAGATAAACTCATGCCTTTTGCAGCAACATGGGTGGAGCTGGAAGGGATCATGCTTAGTGAAATAAGCCAGAACAAAAAAGAGAAAATACTGGATGGTTTCACTCATAGCAGGAGTACAAAGGACCATGGAAGAAAATAATAATAATAATAATAATGAACAGCCATATACCAGAGACATTTTACAGGAGTGGAGTGGGGAATGGGATCAATGATGGGGAGGGAGTGCACTGGACTATGGTGATGGCACACGGGTGACTGGAGATGGGAAGCCCACAGGGGTTACAACTGAGATGGAAAAAGGCACAAATGATGTATAAAAATAAACTATTGTATTATTTTTTAAAAAAGATAATGTGTCACAGTGATGGGCAACAGGTGAGGCCACTTTCCCAGAGAAGGTAATCTTCTGGCACCTCTGGGCTTTAGATAAGTCAGACTTCCTGGGTTTGGATCTGTCGTGTCCTAAGGTGTGTGACCTTAAGAAAGATGTTCAACCTCTCTGTGCCTCAGTCTCCTTAACTGTCAACTGAGGATAATCATAGAAACTACCTTGTACCTTCTGCCTCCCAACCTCCTCCAGAGCAAGTAGCCACCACTGCCTGCTCTACTTGTTGGGGGACCCCCCTACCCTCCCCCACCCCACCCTCCTGATTCCGGCCACAGCCAAGAGGTGAGAGAAGAGCACGTCCCGGCGGCCTTACCCTCTTGGGTAGCAAGGGCAAGGGGCTCTCAGAGGCATTGTAGCTGAGGATGGGCTTGAGCAGGTTGGCGTTCCAGAAGAGGATGTCGCCGCTGTAGGAGGAGGTCCCGATGAACTGGCCCTGGTACTTGGCCATGCTCAGGATGTCCTCCGTGTGGAAGGTCTGTGAGTGGTAGCACAGGAGCACCGGCTTGGTCTTGTGGAACCTGCATGGCCAGAGGGAGGGCGGGGGTGTCGTCTTCAATGCTCCACTGGGGGCATGTCACAGCCGTTAGGACTCTGGAGGCCGATTCTGAAGTGGACACCCGCCCACACCAGGGCAATCTGGGGCCCGGCTCCCGACCTCGCCGAGCAAGCACCTACTATGTGCTTGCTTTCAAGTCCTGTCGTAGAGGCTTTAGACACATTCATGTTTGCCCTATGCAGACACCTGAGTAAGGATTAAGGGGTAAAGAAGGGAAGAACATGGCCCTAGAAAGGTTCTCAGAGGAGGAAGGGACCTGGCCCATGCTGTTGCTTGTGTCTGGAAAGTTCCTCCTAGCCCAAGCCCTGGGCTGTTTCACTGAGACTCCTCCTCCTCACCCTTCAATCCTGCACACCCTTGACATTCTCAGATGAGTCTTTCCTGACCACTGCTGAGACTGAATCCAATTCCAGTATCTTCCCCATAGAAAATTGCACCTATTTTTTCCCCCACAGCACTCAAGAGAATTTACTGTGATCATCAAAGTGACAGGGTTGGTGTCTGCCTCTCCCTAGAAGCTCAGGGAGGACAAAGATGCAACATCAGTCTTGTTGTTACCCATCCCCAGTGCCTCGTACAAAGCAGGGAGATTGCTGGCCTCGGGGGTGATGAATGGATGGACGGTGGGTGAGAAGATGAAGCAGTGGACACTGCCCATCCCTATTTCCCATGTGGTGCTGCAGCCAGTGGGAAACCAGGAATGGAGGGACCCCTCTGCAGAGCAGGGAGGAGAGGCAGCCGCCCTCACCCACCCAGCCCACCCCTGCACTCACATGAAACAAGTGATTCTCTTACTCCACCCCGTCACGTAGAACACTTTGTTCATGTGGATAATGGCGCTAATCTGTTGAAAGTGAGGGGAACAGAACTCTAAGGCAGCGCAGAGAATACAGTCCCAGCCTCTGAGAGTCTTGCTGACCCCACCAAACCAGAGCCAGGACTCCACACCGCCATGAGAGGTGCCTGGGGTGCTCTTGCACCCCGCTGTCTCATCCCAGGGCTCAGAGAGGACAATCGGGGTAAGAAGCTGAGTCCATTTCACAAGAAGGTTGTAACTGGAGAACAGTGAGTACATGACCGCACTGAGGTCCAGTGAGCACGTGATGGGGTCTGGACCAGTACTCAAGCCCCAGCTTCTGGGCCCAGTGCTCCTCATGAGCTGTACTGCATACTGCTGGTGGGAATGCAAACTAGTACAACCACTATGGAAAACTGTTTGGAGGTTCCGCAAACTGCTTAACATGGAGCTTCCCTACAACCCAGCAATCCCACTCCTAGGTATCTAC